GAGGCCAGCCTGGTCTCCAAAGCGAGTTCCAGGAAAGGCACAAAGCTACACAGAGAAACCCTGTCTCGAAAAACCAAAAAAAAAAAAAAAAAAACTGAAACTTTCAAAGAGAGGGGAAAAGCCACTCCTGAGATAAAGAGTCTACATACAGGGCTGGTTGGCTGCGTCACACTTCCTGACTGCGGGGCGCTAGAACGCTGCGGACTCAGGCAAATCCCGCCAGGCTAGCTTTAGTTCCCTTACCATCCGCTCATAGCAGGTGTGTGAACCCACACACCTGTGGTCCCAGCACCGGGGAGATGGAGGCCGGAGGATCAAGCATCCAATGTCATCCTCGACCACATATTGAATTTGGAGGCAGCCTGGGCTATATGCGATCCCACGTCAACAAAGTAAAAATTCCAGAGACAGAAAGGAGAGGGAGAGAGGGAGGGAGGGAGAGACACAGAGAGAGAGAATATTAAATAATAACCCAGAACCAGCTGGGCGCGGTACTGCACATACATAATCTCAATTCTCCTGGAGGCTGGAGCAGGAGGACTGGTGGGTGTCTGAGATCAATCTGGCTCACATAACGAGAACCGGGGCATAGAAATTCTCTATCTCAAAATAACAGCACACACACACACACACACACACACACACACACACACACACACACACATTCGAGGAATAATTCCTCCCCCAGGGTTGGGAACGTAGCTCAATTAGCAGAATGCTTGCCTAGCATGCACAAATCCCTGGGTCAAGCAGGGCAGTGGTGTCGCACGCCTTTAATCCCAGCACTCAGGAGGCAGAGCCCTTTGGATCTTTGTGAGTTCGAGGCCAGCCTGGGCTACAGAGTGAGATCCAGGAAAGGCTCCAAAGCTACACAGAGAAACCCTGTCTCGAAAAACAAAAAAATCCAAAACAATCCCTGACTCAGATCCCCAGCAATGAGTAGACTGGGTGTGGTGGTGCACACCTGAATCCCAGCGCTTGGTCAGTGGAGGCAGGAGGATCAGAAGTGCATTCATTGTGAATGAGTGCTCACTCATGAGTTAAGAGTCAAGTGCTCGGTAGATCATGTGGTCCATTTAAGTGTCATGCGATTATAACTGTCATCACCTACCATCATCTTCATTATAGCCACCATTATTATCACCACCATAACCACCATTGTCACCAACATCACTATCACCATCATCCTGATTATCATCACCATCACCATCGTCACCAAAATCACCACCACTGTCATTACAACCATCACCACTATCATCACCGTCACCATCCGGTCTTTACGTCACCACCCTCAATATCGCCACCATCCCGGCTACCCTCAGCCCCAGTGCCTGAGCACGCCCCTTCCCTCACCTTCCCCAAGGCTTTGCTCAAGCCCACTCTCGGTGAGGTTCCCTTGGCTTCCTCCTTTAAAACAATCACACTCCCTCCCATCCCGTTTCTGCCTCCGTAACACTTGCCACCTTCTAACGTAAAGTTTAAAGTCCAGGTAAACACTTAACATAATCATTACTGTTTCGTTTGCTCGGAGATGGGGTCTTGTGCGAAGCCCAGGCTGGACTCAAAATCCTTGTGCAGCAGATGACCTGGAATCCCTGATCCTCTGCCTCACTGAGCTTCGAGGTTGAATCGGGAGGAGGCTGAGGGTCAGGAATTCAGGCCATCCTTTGCTGTGTAACGGAGTCTGAGGCCAGCCCAGGACCCACGAGACCCTTTGCCACCCTCCCCCCAAAGTGATCACTTAATTCTCTGGTGTTGAGGCGTGTGGGATAGTCAAAATCTTTCTACTTCGGAACTCCGGGTCCTCCTGCCTCCACCTCCTGGGTGCCGTGACTACCACGCCCGGCTTTACCCTGTGATGAGGCCGGAACCTGAACTTGGTTCTGCTAAGCAAGGTTGGCACGGAATGGTTTTAGCTTTGTATCATTGCAACTTGAAGTCTAATACTGGAATACGTTATTAACAAACATGGTTATGTTAAACATCATTCCAACCCACACATCTCACTTTATGTTATTTTGCTAATTGGCTATTTATAGTTTTTATACTATGGAAATGACACCATCCAAAAAGTAAAGCTGGTTTTTCTTTTTTTAAAATTTGAGTACAAAATAAAGCAACATAGACAACTTGAAACATCAGCAAGGTGTTTTGGTCCAGGAACTGATAAGGACAACCGGTTTGCCCGGCGTGTGCTGGTACACACCTTCGCACTCACCTTTAATCCCAGCACTCAGGAGGCAGAGACAGGTGCAGCTCTGTGAGTTCAAGGCCAGCCTGGTCTACAGAGTGAGTTCTAAGACAGTCAGGGCTACACAGAGAAATCCTGTCTAAAAAAAAAAAAAGAGAGGGGGGGGGTCTGAGACATGGCTCAGAGGTTAAGAGCCCTTGGTTGCCTGTCCTGAGTTCAATTCCCAGCAACCACATGGCGGCTCACAACCATCTATAATGAGATCTGGTGCCCTCTTCTGGCCTTCAGGCGTACATGTAGGCAGAACACTGTATACATAATAAATAAACCTTTGGTTTTTTTTTTTTTTTTGGTTTTTCGAGACAGGGTTTCTCTGTGTAGCTTTTCGCCTTTTCCTGGAACTCACTTGGTAGCCCAGGCTGGCCTCGAACTCACAGAGATCC